TTAGCCACGACGCAAACATCATTAAAACACATAAAACGTGTTTAACCCGACATCTGCAAAGACAGCTGATATTTATCCAGATTTCAAACAAACACTTGTACCCGTAAACAAAATGTTTGGCCTGTTTTAGCCCTACAAGCACTACAACCAGACTGTTGTAACAACGTCTGGGGTGCAACACATTCACAAACTGAAACAAGAAGATGAATAATGTGCTGGGTGGAAATTAAAGTGGGGGGATTTGATGGATTGGACAGCAAGATGAGAGTTTAATTTGATGGTGTTATTGGAAAGAACATGCAGCGGTTTTGTCTTGCAGTGTAAGGATATTTAGGATTTGCCTCCTGTTGCTTTGTGATGGAAAGTAGCAATTTATTTGTGTCTGAAGCACCAATGAGGATGCAAACTGAAACAGATCATCTGTATAACAATTTACAACTACTTGACATAAAAAAAAGAAAAAAAACGAACTACCTAGAAGTTTTAATGGTACCTAGAATGGTTTACTGGTGTAGGAATAACCTAGGACTAATAGAATAAAAACTCATAAGTTCTAAAAAAAAACACTGACTTACTGTGAGTAAAAAATAAATAAATTAGTTATTGATACAAATTTAGATTTTTTTATCAGGCTGCAAACATGTTTAAATAATCTACTGTTAAAATGGGCATTTTAACAGGGGCGTTAAGGGGCATCCTGGACTTTTGGAACATGGCTCTAGTGGAACTGCACCCTTTTGCACTTACGCATCAGCTTCATTTTTAACACTGAGTTTGCTTCTCTCCTCTTTGTTGACCTTCATAGTTAAGCCATTGCTCTAGCAGCTTATATTTTCTCAACCAGTGATGGTCTGCGTGTCATTTGGAAGAGCGTTTGCAAAAGCATTAACAGCCGTTTTGCAGTTTTTTCATCTAGAGGGGTTGTAAATATTCAATAATTTGATATTTAAGACTGCCTCACCCTTAACAGACTGAGTCAGTTGTAAGCACTGGTAATTGTGTCAATAAAACGAAAAAAATGAAAGTCTTTATTGGATTTGCCTTTTCTATGAAAGCTATACATTTAGTGCTGGATCAATTATCTTCTCCTGTGTCTCTTAATTTGTGCATTTAAACAGCAAATTAAGTACATGTGTCAAAATTTCTAAATACTTACATATACTGCATAACAAATGTCATTATGTTAAATGGATACACAGGTAAGACATTTAAGACAATGGAATTCTACTGCTGAATGAGTTGAATGTATTCCTTTTTAGAATGTAATTAAACTGTTCTTTTGGTTAACGATCACATGGTTTAAAAAACAGACACATAACATTTGATTTAACAGATTCAGACACAACTTTTACCCTCGCAAGCGACAGGAATAGCAAAGTTTCCATTAAGCAGTAGTCAAGTTAAGTGTCGCTGTCAAACAAAGTGACATTTTCCCTGTCAGCCTGCTCCCTGCCTGTCTCCTTCACACCTTGCATCTGTGATAGAGCACCTCATCAGAGAGGGGAGAGATGCAGAGTGGAAAGAAAGACAGGAGCAGAGTGTGAGTTTGTTAAAGGGCGAGTAAACACTGGCTGGCAAAGAAAAGGGAGGTGGCAGACAGGGACGGGAGAGAGAGAGAGGCTTCCCATTATGCAACTTCAGTGGAATAACAATATGTCTGCTCCTCTGTCACACACTTTCATTTCAAATATGTAGTACAAAAAAGAAAGGAACACCACATATACAGTGCTGTTTAGCTCTTTGAACGGGCTTGATTGTTTTCAGCCAAACCCTGCAAGAGACCACAAGTGAGTGCTAATGTATCCGTACAATGTGATAAGTGTCAGGATGACTTATGCATCACAAGTGTTCACATGTCAAACATGAATAATTAAAGCTCCTGTGAGGAACTTTTGGTTTGTGTTGATTCTGGCACCCTCCCTTTGGAAAAAGTGGTACAGTACAATCACTCCAGTATGAAAGCTGTTTCTGTTTTTGGGGGTCTCTCTGAGGGAAATCTTCCTTTAAGATGATTTACATTGCATTCTGCAAAATCTTCAACTTGCAGTTTCTGTGTAGCTGTGTGCTCTTTCTCGTACATCTGTTTTTGCAACGGGGAGTTTGCAGTCCTGCTAGGTGCGGGTCGAGTATTTGAGCTCTCAGTCTACAACAACATCAGCTGTCAGCATCGCCAAGATATCCCAGCATGCTATGCACCGCGACGCAAAGAATACGGGCAGATTTTGATATTTTCTAATAGTGACCTGCTATGGGTTGCAAATTAGCTTTAAAAGCTAACTATGGTACAATGCATAAAAATGGCTACATGGTCCCTTTATAAATCAATCATTATCATTTGATCATTTCAACGAATAAAGAGAAAGAAGACTATTTCAACTACTGACACTGAAGGCTTCCCCATTGTGGGATCAACAAATGTTATTCAATCTTATTTAAAGTAAACAGTTAAACAAGCAAGCTTATAAATGTATAAACTTTTTTGAAATAATGCCTCCACTCTCCAAAGTCTGAGATTTTTTCTTTGAAGTACTTCCTTACAGGAAATATTGTGAAATGTAAGTTCTGATTTTATCAAGACTTCTTCATACAGAATCAGTGTAACCACAGACATAAGGCCACATTAGCTTTTAAAACTTTGACGAGTGAATCAAACGTCGTATGTGAATCCATTCTCATGAATTAAAGTCACCAATTTCCAAGTATACCATAGAGTTCTTTGGGTCACAGGCTGGACACACATACTCCTCCTCAGCAGCTAAAACTGTCACATGATGTATGAATAAAGATCATTTTAAATAATGGAAACACCAGCTCTAAAGGGACTGTGTCCATGACGCCAATAGGTAGTAAAATTACCCTTGAATCTGCCAAGAGCAATAGGCTGCAGCCCTGTCTGCTGCATTCCTCCCCTGCACCGCTCACACACACACTGCCATTTAAGGCTACCTAGTGTGCTGACAGAGTGGTGGAAGGAGGGACAGATAAAGTAGAGCAGTGCTTTTGATATTCAACAAAGGCCGAGTGAGCACTTCATCACTCTGAGATTTGTGTATCATCAAGTCAACATGATGTCTGTACAGAGGTGATATCACTGTCATGTTCTCTCTGTTCTGTTTTCCCCTCCATTTATCTGCTGTGTGTGTGTGTGTGTGTGTGTTTTTTTTTTTTAGAAAGAATCACTGGAAAATGTATACAGATGACTTAGGTGTGAAGTTGTGTTGGTTTTACTTCAGATCTAGTTTTAGGGGAAATCAATGAGAAATGATGACCTCCCTGTATTCCAGTGAAGGTGTAATACTTCTAAAGAAGTTTCACCACAGCTCAAAAGAATTTAAATCACTGTGGGATTCTTCTCAGTTATTGTTCATTGCTCAACTTTGGCCAGAGTGCAGTCAAGTAAGATGAGGCGTGACGCACATTGACGTGAGACTGCAGAATTTAACAGGCTGTGATGAATGCCTCCCTCTGCTGGACATGGAGCGCAACTACTGCTGAATGAAGTTTTGACGTCAATAGTTTTTGGTTGAATAAAAATGAATTAGAAATATACTTCACGCATGTGAAGTTTGCAAACCTGGACAAGCTTTTATCACAAAATACAAAAGATGTATCTAAAGGTGGGTGGGGGGGGGGAGTGGGGGGGATGAACATTTTAAATAAGAAGCTATTCAGAGGTAAAATTATTCTTCTCTCTGCTATGGATGCTAATGTGTGAACAAAACAGTTCAACTAAAACAAAACACATTGTCTACCTCAATTTGATATATTTAGGTATATTATCTTGTGTGTGACTTCCTCCATTTGCTTTCTTATAAATATTTTTTTGTGTTTTGCAAAGGAAGTAAAACAAATATGTAGTTTGTAATAAAGCAGAGTGGTTTACGAGCTGTTCCTTGCTGGTATTTTGTTCATGTGGTGTTTCTTTCTTAAAGTGAAGCATGTTGCTGTCCCTTTTCATTTTCTTTTTTACATCATCTGTAAATATGAGAGTGTGAGGTGAACATTTCCTGTAAGTAAATCATCCAGTGTAGGGTAAACATAGTTAAACACAGCAGATGTTTGACTGCAGCCGGAGGTTTTAATAAATGCAAATGCGTGCCGAGTGCTTTTTCTTGTTCTGTTATATTTTAAAAAAATGTAAATATTAAATCATAAATCTTTGTATAATGCCCGGGGACTTGAATCCATCTTAAAGAGTACATTGAGTTTACACTACTAAAGTCGTATTATTTAGCAGAGAGGTTGACTTTTAATCTGTTTTTGGGAGTGATGTGTGAGGGGCTTCATGGGGATGGAGTGGTTAACGCTGTTGCCTCACAGCGAGGAGCTTCCTAATTCTTATCCCCGTCGGATCGGAGCCTCTCTGTGTGGAGTTTGCATGTTCTCCACTGTGCATGTGTGGGTTCTATGAGGGTAGTCCATCTTCCTCCCACAGTCCAAAGACATGCTCGTTAGGTATATTGGTGACTCTTAATTGCCCGTAGGTGTGAATGTGAGTGTCAGTCCATGGTGTACCCTGCCTCTCTCCCAATGACATCTGAGATTGGCCCTTACGACCCTGGATGTTAAAAGCAGTATAGAAAATATGGTGTGTAACAAACCTGACATTTCAGATAATGCCAACCTTACAAACACAGGATTATTGTGTACTTTGTCTTTTTTACCACTGGATGTCGCCCTTTCTACAGAAACCAGTGGACTGAAACTTCAGGCTGAGGTGTTACATCACATAATGTAAGGGCCGGAGATGGAACAGTGAGCAGAGACACACTCATATGAGTATAGAAAGAGAGAGAGAGAGAGAGAGAGAGAGAGAGAGAGAGAGAGAGAAACTGAAATATGTGAGTAATGATGCAAACTAAAACCACATATGATTGCGTGTGTTTCAGATTCTTAAAATCTCTTCCTCTGAAGAAGTTATCATAGGAATCTTCATTTCTTGTCAGTTTTAGAACCGCATGTCTCGGTAGAAATCAGGATTTCAGTGTGGAGCTGCTTACCTTCCTCCCAGAGAACAGCATACACAGCTGGTGCATGGAGCCTCCGTTCTTGGTCAGCTCTTTCTTCAGGGTTTTAGGTGACGGGAGCGTCCACCCCCCCTTGTGATGTCCTCCCCCCGCCTCCAGGCAGTTGATGGCGTTGTCAGAGGTAAAACATGGCGTGCGGGGGTCCTGCAGGAGGCTCCCCTCGCTGTGTGTGCGCCGGCGGAGGGAGTTCTGCACACTGAGTCCGCCTCCTCCGTGTTTCTCACAGGTGGCTCCCTCCACCATGCTGCGCCTCTTGCTGTCGCTTCGCTGCAGGTAGGCGTCGTCGCTGTCGTCTTCCTCCTCCTCATCCTCTTCGGACTCCTCGTCTTCATCTTCATCTTCATCGTAATCTTCATCGTCGGTGTTAGGGGAGGAGAGGGCATCGGCGCTGAAGGAGCGATCAAGCCGCAACTCAGGGATGACGAACGAGGATGAGGAGGAGGAAGGTGGAGCGTTGGTGTCAGGTGGCTCGGAGGCGTTGTCTTCATCTGTGTTTGACACCACCAGGTTTATGTTAGCCTCCTCCTCATTCCTCTCTCCATCCTCCTCTTCTTTCTCTTCCCCCTCACTTCCTGGACTCTTCCTGCTTGTTCCATCCTCCTCCTCATCCTCATCTTCCTCTCTCCTGCTCTCCAAATCCTTCATCTCTCTCCAGATCTCCATCTCGTTCCCCTCCATGCTCTTGCAATCCTCCCCCTCAGTGGAAGGAGGCGGTGTGGGAGGCACCTTATGTCGCTCCTCGGACCCCGACAGACCCCCGAGCGGCATGTAGATGTCATCCAGTGGGGTGAGAGGCTCTGACGGGTGAGGACTGCCGATGGTCGGGGGCTCTGAGGGACTGGAGGGGTACAGGCTGCTCTCCTCACCCTCGGAGCTTCGGGGAGGCAGGTGGAGGCACACGCCTCCTCTGTCTCCCGCTACTCCGGCCAGCTCACATGAAGAGGCATCCACTTTAGGCTCCAACATCTAGAAAACACAAAAACAGAGGGAAAGAATCTTTAGTCAAATCAGTTCGGACAATGACTGCACTGTCTATAAAGCTAACAGGTTTAACTTAGTGTTATTGAGATTTACCTCACAGCCACAAGCAAATCTGATTATCATAACCATTCCATTAGCAGCTATTGAATTAGGTTTTGAAATATCTCTGCCATTCTAAATGTTGGTGTAACCAAGCCGTTGTTCAAGGATCAGACTGGATGACATTTATATCTTTGATAAGGTCACATTAGTGATTATAGTCCTGACTCGTCCAAAAGATGGACGACATACTGAACTCTGCCCGACCAGAGCGTACAGTCTGTCATGTCCTCTGACCTCAGACAGAAGGAGACTTCCGGGCTAGAAATGTCTACAACCGTGGATGTTCTCAGACTGAAGACTGCATAAAAGAGGATGTAAAAAAAAAAAAAAAAGGTAAATGTCAGACCGAGGTGAAAGGAAGTTTAGTCATGACGCATGATGAAACAGGAAACTGAGACCAAATTGCAGTGAATAGAAACACTGCACTTTAACTGAAGAGTACAAAATGTTCCTAAACAGGTAATCAGATATCCTGATGTATCATGATGTGATTGTCTTGCAAAAAACCAATAATAGGAGACTCATTGTGTTATGATAGCATTATCATTGACAACGTATCACATATATCATATTCTGAGTTACCCTGGGATTCCCACATCTCAAGTAGAAGTGGTCTAAACCTGCATTCTTATGACCAGCAGGGGGAGACGCCATGGTTCACAAGGAAGCCAACGTGTGTGAAAGCAGATGGAAAGGTCTTGTTTCTCAGTTGATTTATTACTTCAGTTGAGTTTATGGTTTCCATTGATATCAAGGTACTTTAAAATGACAAATAAAGTATGACATCACTTCGCCCCTGTTAATACTTCAGAGCTTTTAACCCTCTGCACCAGTGGTTCTTTAACTGGTATAGCTTCAGGACCCACCGCTAACTCTTTCATGAAAAATGAAGACGCACATTTTTCATATTTTTGAACCAATCAGGACAAAGAAACAGAACAAAACAAACATGCTTTGGGCGCCGGTGGCCAAGTGGTTGGGGTGCGTGCCCCCATGTACAGAGCCTGCAGTCCTCGAAGCGGGCGACCTGTGGCCCGCACGTCATTCCCCACTCTCTGTGTCCCTGATTCTGACTCTATCCAGCGTCCTTTCACTAATATAAAGGCATAACAAGCTTAATAATAAACCTTTAAAAAGAGCATGTTTAAAAAGCTCTTCTCAGACTTTTTAATCATATAAATATAAACTGAACATACATACAAACAAGCCCTCTTGCAGAAATGGGATATTTCTGTTACAAATGTAAGCATCAGCCACACAGAAGGTTAGTTTCTATCATTTCATGCTGTAAAAAATGTCTCTGGTCCAATTGACAACATATACACAGGCCTTACACTTCTCCCACCAACCTCTCAGGGTCAAACCTAATATTTCTGCTTCACAAACACACACACAAACACGTGCACACACACACACACACACACACAGCTTGAGCTCATCCCCTGCCTTTGGTAATCTTTCTGCACAAGCTCTCTCCTATTCCACCTCACAGAGACCTCGGTGGGAGGATCATTACAAATGTATTTTGAGTGAGCCAAATTCATGCAAACCCACAGAACTTCAATTTAAATTCAGCTCAAGATCAAACATTTGTGATGATACTGAATAAGCCAAGCCACATTACGGAACTGTTGGAAAGTTATGCACTGTACAAAACTTTTTCTAATCCATGTGATTTTCCTTCCCCCAAAATAAAATATGCACGATTATAAAATTCAGCAAGCATTCAAAAGCAAGTCCAGGGATGGCTGGGTCGACTTGCTTTTCCTGTTGCCACCGCAACTGGCACAGGAAAATGGATGGATGGATGGATAACATTCAAGTAATAAAATAAGCAAGATCAATTCTACCTCCTTTTAGGCAACAGAAAAATCTTGTGAAGGGCTTCATTGTGCCAGTCAAGTTAACCCATGATGACAGGCTGCAGTCACAAGACTCTTCGCTTTAACTGGAGATAATGCTGGCTACTTTCAGACAGCCCTCATGATATTTCACAAGCTGTTTGTTTTACTTTTGAAGCTCAAATTAGTTTCCCTCAAGATACTCTTGTCCTGTTTGTACCAGCTCCTGAACTTTTGACCTGTGTTCAAAATCTCTGCAGACAGCTTTTTCGGACTTCGGATCAGCTTCAAAAAGCAAACCTACAACTAATGTCACACGTACGGCTAAAATTGTAGCTTGTACAAAAACAGTCTAAGACCGTACATGCCAAGAATAGAAAAAGGAATGTTTTGCTTTTGTTTATAATTTTACAACCTAGACAGGAAGCAGAAGTGATGTATGTCGTTATTTTTGACATTGAGTGGTGTGAACAGTAGGCACAAGCTAAATACATTCTGATGACAGGAGAATTATGTCAGAATAGGGTCACTCATTCTGCTGCAACAATATAACTTCTTATTTGTAATATGGAGAACCTCAAGACTCTGTTCTGAGCCCGTTTCTGTTCTTTTATTTTCTAATTTTTTCTAATCTGACCTTGTTGACTCGAACTATTACTATTGGCATTTTAGAAGTAAGTTTTGATTGGCTTTTGTTGTTTTTGCTCTGCATCTTTGTCACATCATGTGACTGAATACTGTATCGGAAAAGAGGCCTCTCAATCTAAGTTAAGGAGAGTCAGCATTTCCTATTAATAATGGACTTTAAGGAACCAATAGGCAACATCACAAAGACTGTAGATGCATCTAGTTGGGAGGTTTCTACGTATGTCCAAATGGTAGGGGACCCAAATCGAGACTCAGATCTGGCAAGAGGAAATCTTTCTCTCATGGCTTGGAAAGTCATGTGAATCCCAGTTGGACTAGAGGCAATGCTTGGAAGAGGAATGCTAGCCTACTGCCACACAAATCTTGACAGAAAAGGGACCAAATTAGAAGAAATTAAAACATCCAACAAGTTTCCAAGCCCCTAAAGCATAACTGAAAATCTGGCCCTTTGTCCCACATGACTGGCAACCCCAGCCAGTTTTGTTCCAGTTACACTTGATATTCTTTAATGTTTGTGACGCTTTTTCATTCGAGAAAGGGATAGACTGATGAGTAGCCCAATCTAAGGTTCACCAAATAACTTACTTGTTTGTTTTGGTAGTATGGGTATAATTTCCCATTTTTTTCCAGTGTACACATCGTGAAACCTCTTGGGACAAGAGCAAAGACTTGAGGCTATACATATAACCTTAGCTTGTCTTGATGTTCATGGGTATATACAACTGCTGCCCAGGAGATCCAGGCTCTCATTGTGTGTTCTAACTCCCTCTTAACCTCCAAGTGATCCCATCCAAAGGTTCACAGTAGTGTTAAAACCAAGACATCAAGGCTTCTTACTGATGTGCTTGGTCTATGAGGGATATTTTTAGAAGGCAATGCACTTTGATAGAAGCACCAGTGGAGGAAAGTCGAGGGAAAGCCTCTGTCTTTATCCCTTTTTTCCCTTCACTCCTTCGGGTTTTTTTTCATGGTGGTCCATGTCAAAAGATTAAGACAATTGTGAGAAAATCCTCAGAGTCATTTATCTGTCTTTCTCTCCTTGTTTTATTTGGTCCTGTGATTTACAGAGGCAGTTTCTCCTTCCTTTTTGCGTCTTTGCTGACCTCCATCTCTCTTCCCCTGTCTTACACACAAACCCCTGTCTGTTGAAGATATGGCTTGAGACACAATGGAGCCACCTGTCCTGTCAGATACACTTGTTCCTTCTCACAATCTCTACAGTGGACACACACAAAGAAACACACACAAAAACAAGACATGCAGCAAGAATAAAAAAAAACCTGCCTTTCATGCGTTTCTTCATGTCTTATATGTGATATGAAAAGAACAGACATATCAACAAACATGTAAATCTTCAAGGCATTTTCTAATTTTGCTAATTACCATCCTTTACATTCTCTCTTCAATGAGCCTGCTTCAAAAGATGAATTTAATGTCACAGGCAAATGGGCAATTTAATTGTGTTTCTGTGCATGTTATGCATATGCAAGTGCAACACAAATGTATTCAAATACAGCTAACAGTCATCAATGATTCAACACGATACAATCTCTGGCATTGCCTCAATTAAGCAGGGAAACAAAAGCAGAGCTAAAAGGCAGGGAGAGTGGGAAGCAGGGTATAAGTGATGGAGGAGACAAAGTGGATAAGACAAGCAGAAGGGAAAAGGGGAGTCAGAGAATGGCAGTGACACAGAAATGAGATGATTAAGTACAACAGGACGGAGAAAAAGACAAAACAAGAGATGAGATGAGAGGTGAATACATCTTGGAAAATGTCCATATTGGTGTTACCATGTGTGACTCATGAGTAGGATTACTGTTCTTCCAATGATTTAACATCCAACAATAATAAGCAGAAAGTTTCCCTACGTTCCAAACCTACCAAGAAGAAGAATTCAGCATATATGTGTGTTTTGTAAGTCTTTGTAGAAAGGGGCCAAATGGTAAAGATTCAGCTAACTGAGAAGATGTGATTTTACGCTTAGGTGGCCAGCTAACTCAATGTGTTCAATGAGCTTAAATGCTTCTTGGCCTTCTTGTGTTTAAGGCCAGGAGCACAGACATACTGGCTGCTGACATTTTTCCACCACGGGGAAGAAATCCCAGGGAACGTCACTCCAGGTCTTTTTACACATTTCATACACATTTTTGTGCAGTACACGAGAGCTACTTGCACTTTTTCAAAGACTATTTGTCTCTCTTTCCTTTCATGAGAGAAATATTTGTCTCTTGAATTATAGTCCCTCACTCCATTGTTATGTTATTTTGAACTGGCAGTCATGGTCCTCAGAGGATGAATCCTGAGGATTAGATTATCCCCAACAGAAGAACCCGTCTCAACAGCAGTTTGATGAGACTATTGTCTAACGTTATGCTTCATGATCTCTGAGAA